TGCAAGCATGTTCAGGATGCGATTCTCTCCCTCGAAATGCAAAATGTTGCTTCAGGATTGGGTTACATCGACACCCGAACTAGTGATAGGGAGTGAAGTAGTTGAGTGTGTCGACCGCTTCACTTATCTTGGAAGTCTCATCAGCCCTTGTGGTTTAGTGTGTGACGAAATCTCAGCACGGATACAGAAGGCTCGACTAGCTTTTGCCAACTTGCGTCATTTATGGCGTAGGCGAGATATCCGTCTATCAACCGAAGGACGTGTTTACTGCGCAGCAGTTCGTTCCGTCCTACTTTATGGGAGTGAAACATGGCCGGTAAGAGTAGAGGATATCCGTAGGTTACTAGTATTTGATCATAGGTGTCTTCGAAACATTGCTCATATATCATGGGACCATCGAGTAAGTAACACAGTTGTTAGGAAACGGGTACTAGGTAAGGATGGCAAATCAATTGATGAAGTAGTGAAACTTCATCAGTTGAGATGGCTGGGACATGTGTTACGTATGCCCAACGACCGACTGCCTCGACGTGCTATGTTCAGTGGTATAGGAGTAGGTTGGAAGAAAGCTAGGGGCGGCCAAACCAAAACATGGCACAAGTCCATGAAGTCACTGACAAGTGAACTGAGTCATGTTGGTAGGTGTAGACTACCTGGTTGGGGACCGCGAGATGACAGCAACCGATGGTTAGAGACCCTGAATGACATGGCTCAAAATCGTTTGCAATGGCGCAGGTGCATCCACTCTCTGTGTTCTCCCAAATTCTAATCTTCTGAATTCTTCATGTCCCTTTTTTTCCTCTTTCCAAATTTCTTTCACTGGATTATACTCTTTAAATAACATCTCCAAACCCTAATCTTCCCGATTACTGCTTATACTCTGATTACCTCTACCACTACGGGATTTGAATCGACAACTGCATCTCTGTGCTAATGTGGTGTGGCAACTCGAACTGATGTACGTACGTACGAAGTTCTACGTTGTTACTGACTGACTGACTGACTTGAAACAACTGTCAACCGATATCAAAGTCAAAATCTTCAATAGTTCTGCTGTGTGGAGCTAAAACTTTTAGTAAACTACCACAACCGTCATCAAAACAGATCAGGTATTTATAAACAGTTGTCTACTCAAGATACGCAATACCTTTTGGCTAAATACCATCAGCAACAGGCTACTGTGGGAGAGAACAATCCAACTTCCAACTGAAGAAAAGACTATGAAAAGACGCTGGAAGTGGATTGGACACAAATTGAGGAAATCATCAAATTGCATCATGAAACAAGCGCTGACTTGGAAGCCTGAAGGGAAACGAAAAAGAGGAAGGTCAAAGAACATACTGCACCGAGAATTGGGAGCAGACATGAAAAAGATGAATAGTAACCGGAAAGGATTTCTAATATGGAGTTGGATGGAAAATGCTGGTGAGAGGCCTATGCTCCTCCATGAGGAGTAACAGGTGTAAGCAAGTAGGTATAATCAATTTGTTGGATGCACATAAATTTGCAAGTCTCTCGCCACTCTCGATCCTTTCTCCTAGTTCATTTCGTACCATAATATCTTCATAACCGTTGTTGTCCATTCCGACTTTGGCATTTAGATCTCTCATCAGGATAGTCAGGTACTTTCCTGGGCACTTCGTTATGATCGGTTGCAGCCTATCGTAGAACTGATCTTTATCGACGCCACTGCTATCATTGGTAGGTGCACGACATTGGGTAACATTGTAATTCCCTCCTTCTTTGTTTTGAAGGATGCTTTGATGATCCTGGATCCATGAGATTTCCATCCTATGAAATCATTCTGTGTTTCTTTGGACAGCAACAGAACAACGACCTGAGTGTGTGGAGTATGAACATAAACTGTAATCGAAACATGTGATAATGACGACAAAACGTTTTTCTATGGATCAGAAGATGTAAATGTATTAATGAGCATGTGACCCCGTTTCTTTGAGAATTGAGAACATAAACTATCGACAATCAGTGTTCAGTTACTTTTAATATTAATATCATTCATTGTCTGATAAGTTAACCTACATAGTTGGAAATTGGATTTATCTTACGCTTATTTTTTTAGATCAAGTACAACTTCAATATACCATATGAAAAAACTTATTTTTAAAGTGATTGTCAATAATAGCGTGTTTGTTTTCAGTATAGGGTTGTGGAGATTGTTGAGTTTTTTTTAATTGAAATAATGAATGGATCAATGTTAGACCACCATTGAAAGCACTGGACGGCCGTTTAATCCTAGTATTAGACTCCTGGGTTCGAATCCCGGGTATGGGGTCGTGGATGCGCACTGCTGAGGAGTCTCCTACCAGGGCGAACGGGCCGTCCAGCGCCTCTAGCTTTTCACTGGTGGTTTAACACTGATTGATTCACGATCCCAACAAAAAGAAAACGTGTTTGTTTGTTTACATTTCAACTGATTAAACCACACAAATGAAACGATTAATTTCTTTGAATCGCCGAGAATTTTCATTGCCATTGAACTAACTCCTTGAAATGATACGAGTTAACGAAATTTGTAAAGAAAAGTTGGCAGAATTAAACTTTACAGACGACAAAAAGGGATTTTAAAAGTGGCCTTCGAGATTTCAACCATTTATTATATTTAAAATACTGTAAAGAATTCGCAGCCAAGGTTAGGTATTTAGGTACTGATAATAGCTCCAAAACCACGCGGATGAATAAATTTCGCGCAAAAATCTAAGGTGCACAAACTTAAATCTGATTGAACTCGTATGTAAATTTTTGTTCAACAGGATAACCATGCTTAATATAACTTGCCGAACCATTAACTACAAAGACTCATGTACTGAAAGTTGAACCACTCATAAGGTAAGTAGCTATCAGTTTATATAGTACCCGCTTGCCGAAACCGAAACAGAGTTCGAACCATAGACTTATTGGCTGACAGCTAGTCAAATGTATTAACCAATGTCATAACCGTCTTTTGCTAACACATTCTGACAGATGAAATAAATGTTCTATTTCGTATGAACCAATGTAATTTTACCGTTTCAAGATGCCATAAATATAATTTCTCAAAAATAGTAACTATTAACAGCTCATGACTTGTGATATTACGAACTTAATAAAAGGCTTTATTTCAACAGAGACGATAATGTGAACATTTTAATAAATAATAATTCAACCAATCATAGTTAAAAAGAGAAGTACATCCGACTGTTGTTCAGAAGAACGGTCAAACAATGAGTTTCGGTATTCGTTTAATTAGGCTGGAGACCCAGTGAGATAATGAAATACTTCTTTCCTATTATTTTGATGTTGTTTTGCATATTTCTAATTCAGATTGAATCGCACATCATATAAGCCATAACTAGATGACATGTACAGGATAGGATACGAACTATTTAAGTTATGTAAAGAATTACTCCATAACATCCGTGCTCCTGCTTACCGAAAGATTTATTTAAGACCGTGGTTTAGATCACTGAGTAAGCTTACCGTACTCGTTAGACTTTAATTTTATAAAATCAGTATCGAAATACATATCACACAGTAAACAGAGAGCCCAAGTAATAAAGAGAGAAATGAATGAGTAAGGTAAATGGCGACACCACATCAAAGAAACTTAAAATTACACTCATTGGAAATTGGAATATTATGGTGAAAAGTAATGTATAGTTGCCAAAACACATACAATACTGAGATATAAATTTATAAATGAGTTGTTAGTATTTTTCGACGATAATTTCTTGATATGTGTCTCAACGTATCTGCAAAAAGTACACACGCACATATACACAGGTGATTAGTAAAGATTTCTATTCTAGAAAGTACCAACCTGTATTACCACGATTAGCGTTAAATAAGGAGACAATAATTTATTGTCATAAACATTATTTTTACTACAAACACTAGATTTAAGAAACTAAGTGGCGAGTCATGAAGTTTGATAAACAAGCAGACCCATGATTAGTAAGTTGAATTGTTATTTTCAGTATAAGTAGCAGGGTTGTTAACGGTAATACAGATCAGAAATAACTTCCAATTAATTAATTTCTTGGTCCACTAAATCCAGGTTAGGTTAGATGAAAGATCCGTTCAATTGAAAGAATTTTAGTCTTCTGCTACAGATTAAGTTGTCGGACGTACTTATTGTCGAGAGTGACAATAAATTGTTGAATAGTAGACCTATTCAAGAAGAAAGGCACTTAAATAATATCTAGTGTCTTTCAGTCGACCAAAGATATGACAATGACTTTCTATATCAGCTGTGATGTTTCAACTACATATTTCGGCAAGCTTCAATTTTAGTCATACAAATAAACTTTCTGTGACTTGATGGCATCCAATTTCAACCCAGTGGTGAAGACAAACAACACATATCACGATGTGAATTCGTTGGAGAAGACTACTACTTCTTTTGGAACACACGTACAGACTTCAACCACGGTTTAGTGGAACTATGTGTATACACATGTGCTTGACGGAGTGCGAAGAAGTAACAAGAACCATTAAATGAGTTCAAGTCGGTCATATGAACGTCAAAGATATGTGTAAGGAAGAACTAGCTACGTACATAATGGAGCATGTATTACTCATGATTTTTTTACTTTTCTGTAAAAATAAAATATTTGTTAGCAATTTTCAGAAAAACGTTAGCAAGTGTCAGTAGATTCTAACAGTATCCTTCGAAAAAAAAAGATTTTCATGAAGCTATCATGTACCTATCAGTCAAACAATTGTCGTGTTTTAGATTTGAAAACAACAGATGAATTACTGAGATCCACGTGCAAAAGAATTCCATGAAATAAATGGATTTCAATTCATTGTCTCAAGTCTGACGATCCCCACACACATATACACACTCTAACTTCAATCAATTCTCGATATCGTAAGGTCATATTATTTGATGACGAATAATGATAATTGTTAATGGTAAATGAAGACGAATCCTATAAATAATATCTTATTGAAACTTTCAACACTAAACAGTAAAAGATTTCACAAATTATTCCACTAACCTGGTATGTGAAATCTAATGAAAATACTTCCCCATTTGATTGATGGCTATGTACACCTAAAGGATAAACAGCTAATTGTTTTTTCGCATTAATCACATGATCACATGTAAACGTGACGATTTGATTGGATAATTTACCAGATGGTATAAATATTTGTTCAATGGCTTCGTTGAATGGTTGCATTGTACCACCGACTAAAAGGACACTTCTAGCTTCTTGTACTAGATCTAATTAAAAATTTTGATACATTGATGATAAAAATAATTTTTATTGAATTTAAAAAGAAAACAGTGAATATTACCCTGTAATAGATGAAGACTGTCGCTTAATATTAATAGTGGGTGAACTGCAAATCAAAGTTCAGTTTTGAAGATAAATGAGAGGTCACTTTTAAGAGAAAAATATTTTAATCTTAATTCAACTAAACTTATTACAAGTAAAGAATCGTTTCTCAGAACTAAATTACATTTAGTCACAAATCTATCTAGCATTCAGCTATGTATTAGTTACAATTCAATAATATTCATTTTTATGCTACATCGTATGATTTAATTAAAATACAACAGCCGAACCACCACCAACACCAATTCGCTTCATAAATTCTAGTCTGTGAGCAGTGATATGTTAACAATTGCGTTATGATGATGATCGCTCAAATTGAAAACAGCTTACATTACAAACTGACTATTTTTAAACAACCACTGGAAAAATACGGGGAAATGAATAGCGATTTTGACCTAGTTTCAGAACGCAGAAACAATGTGCACACAACTCATAGAAGAATCAAGGACTTTCATTCTTTTTGCGAATTTCTCACTTTTAGACCAATGGTTCAGTATCTAATGGTTCACATTTCTAAAGTTTTCTATGTTTCAATGCTTCTCTAAAATCTCATCGTTTCTCCAGTCAAACTCATTCATATGGTCGAAAAAGTCTAAGAACGTCACGAAATTTTTGGAAGAATGGGATTTAAATAAGTTGGCAATCAATAAGCAGGTTGACAAATATCTGATCTATGTGATAAGCTAAGTCGATATTCTCAAATAACACACCTATGGGCACGTGTTAGTTAAAGGATAAATGGTAGATGAGATGTTGACAGACGAGTCTTATTGGTTGAGATTTGATTCAGATAACCGAGGGACGTATATATATATATATATATATATATATATGATCGCAGGATTACTAGGGCCTAGCAAAAATTTTAATTGCCACTTGTCACAAACTGGTATCAATTAAGAAATTGTTGAAAACCATAGATCACTGAACAGGTGTTTTATCTTAGTATGACTCTCCTAAGCAGCAAACACACACGATCAGTGATCGAATCAAGGACCTTTAGCTCACTTTTCAAACCTTAAATAATTTGTTTTACATAGATGGTGACTGTCCTTTTAAAATAAACTGAATGAAACTACTACACCATTGTGTTATCAATTACAAATTTGAAGAATGGATATGATTTTTAATAGTTGAGATGCATAAACCGAATCCCAATTGATAAATGGCACCCAGTAATATGGTATAGCCGAGTGACGACTGTTCACGAGACTATATTATTGGTGCCAGCCTCCAATCAACTGATATTAGAAAACAAGAGGGCTGACCAGAAGTGTAGAATTTTTATCTAATAAAATAACTAACATATAAAATACCAAACAAAAATAAACATGATTAGAAATCGTTTTAAATATAAGCAGTTCAAAAGATAAAAATTATGTAGATCACTCAAGTTTCAATGGGATTAGGACCTGACCGCTAGTCTGAATTTTTACCATATCGTATCGACTCCCCCCATGAAATGATGTAAGATTCTTTTCTGATAACTTCTAGTTACACAATATAATCTTCAGTTTTCTTGAGAACCATGTTTCTGTTAGGACTACTGATTCCAATAACAGTACCAAAATTTAAATTTAAGATTATCCTTTATCATTTTCTGATAGTTAATTGAGTATAAATTTTTAATTTTACTCTCTCTATTCTCTATAGGATGAAAATTTGTCACATGATTAAAATATACAATGATGAGAGTACCTAAATTGCTATGTGCTGTAACAGATTAACAATGATTTAGTCTATTTCTTACGGACGGTGATCAACCAGATGTATTGTAAACTTAGCTGAACATTAAAAACCACAACTGAAGCTTCAAAATAGCGCTTATTGAAAATCCATATTTTGGCTGATTCTAGTGAAATTTTTGAGAACTAATGCAACCCCCAACATACTGATTGCATTTAAGACAAAGATTTATGTTATTACATAGAATAAAATTCAATAAATTTTCTAACCTTTTAAATACCTTCCAGGATTTAAAAATACCACACGTAAACACAAATCTTGAGTATCATCTTTAAGATTACTTGACGAAGACAACATATCAGATGAGGAGATTGATAAATTTAATTTTGTTGGGTTCTTAACAGGTTCAATAATTATACGTGCATCTTCTTCACAAAATTCCAAAGCTTTAAGAAAGCTATGAAATTTAAATAAACTGGAGCCAATTCCTTCAGACTTTTCAATATCTATTTTAGATTTTTTATTCGAAATACAAACCTGAAATTGGATCGAAAACTTGAAAGTGAAATTCAAGAAATACCTTTAAAAACATCTTGTATCTTTCTGATAGTCTCAATATATGTTTAAAAATTCTGTTTATCCACATATGCTTACATCCTAGATGAATCTCATGTTTCATTATTTCAGATATTACCGGTGATCCAATCTTAGGTAGCTGGAGTTAGTCAGTAGGGTATTCTGAACCTACGTTTCACACAAGTCGGCATATATCAAGAGAATTGAAGCCTTCTAAAACTTGTGAAGATCTAGAACAGTTTGTACAAATGAATTTTCGCTTGTAAACATAGAAACCTATTACACTATGAGAAAAATTGTAACTTTAACTACTCGAATTAAGCAAACATGTTTTAACTTACCTGACTTGTATCTCCACATTGATTATTCTCATCAGAATATTTTCTTTTCATAGCGTTTAATAAATTTGTCATTTGTGAACAAACTGTTTGGCTAATTGCAACATTTTCTAAATGTTTCGAATTTTGTTGTATATTATTAGACCATTTAGAGAAACCAATTAATTTCATGATAAAGTGTTGATATTCTAAACAATCGATAAATTCACTTAAATTTATGTTGTCCAAGTTCGATTCCGAAAATAATTTATTCACTGTTTTAATGATAACATTAACCGATATGGAAGATAATGATAATTGAATATTTTTAAGTGTAGTATTTAAATAAAGTTTTAATTGTTGTATAAAATGTCTCATTTGACGTAGTCTTAATGTAAGAAATGAAGATAAACGTGAACGATAATATTGTAAATAACCAGAAAATAACTCTTCTAATTTGTATAAATCATTCACCAATGACAAACTGACTGACAGTGATGACGCTGTTGCTTCTAACAAATTATGCGCTTCATCAATTATAACAATTGAATTTTTCAGTTTTAAACCAGATGTCAAACGATTTGATGGTTGTAACAATGATGAATATGGTATTAAAACTAATTGAGCTAATGGTAATCCCTTACGATTAGCGTAGTACGGACACCCAATATGAGACGACAATTGGGTATCGTTTACCGTCATTTCGTCTTTTAGGCATTTTTTCAAAGAATTACTCAAAACATTGATCGATTTAGATGACTTACTTGACTTTCTATCTCTAATACTACTGGTTATATTTAAAGCTGAATTACCAATTAATAGGTGCTTGGATAAATTATTAACAGCTGTTGAGTTACGCATTGGACATCTGAAAACTTTCGATTGACCTTCCTCACGATTACGCGGTCGATTCAATTCAAGACAAGCAATATTAATTAAATCTGGGTGTTTTAACTGATAAATGGTTTCATTAGTGCATAACAAATTTCTTGATGATAATTGAATTATTGTGACTTTACTAAATAATGTTTTACATTTTGCAAATTCTTTGGCTATTTGTCCGAGTTGTGAATGAGTACGACTACAATAAATTACATGTAATAATCCATTATCAGATTTTTGTTGTTCTTGACTTTCAAACTGTTGTTCCAGTTCAATTTCATCTAATTCGATAATTTTATTTTTACCGAATAAGTTTTCATCAGGTTTACATAAAAATAATTCATCATCGCAGTCATACTGATCATTGGAATTGTCTATTATATTTTTCAATTGCTCAATATCAATACTTTCAATATTCGCTTCAGTTATGGTCATTTCATCAACATTTAAAAAGTCAGTTTGATGGTTAAACAGTAATGATGAGGAAGATGATTTCATTTTCTCAATTAATTGTAAATTAGATTGATAGATCAAAAGATCTTCAATTTGTGGTTCAATTTGTTTTTTTAATAAACGATTTTTATCATATTCTACTATCCAATCGTATTCCTTAGAATTATTCTCTTTATTTTCATGATTCGTTAATTTTAACTGAGATTGAAGACTATTTAATAATAAAACCTGTTTTTCGTTATAATCTAAAAGCCAACGTAATGTTGCTGTTAATAGACTCAATGATTTGCCAGTACCAGTTGGACTTTCAAATATACCACAACAGTTAGATTCTAATGTCTTATAGACTGTTTGCATCAATTCAAGTTGTTGTGAATATGGTTTCGGATAGGGGAAATCAAAAAATTGATCTGGTATGGTTAATAATGAATGTGAGTTATCATTTAAACCATTAATTTCATCTTTAGTTTGTTTGTTTTTGTCATTTAACGTTGGTGTAAAGTTAGTGATATTTAATTCCAAAAGAATTTGATCTCCAATTGAATCATTATAAAAATCATCATCCATCATAAGCATATATCTATGAAGATAGAAGAAACAAATAATAGAACTTACATTATGGAGTTAGAGCGTAATTTTGTTAGTGTTTGTATAGTTCAACGTCTCAAACCACTGATTTTCAGCTGCAAACTAGGTGACATTACTCATAATGGTTCGGAACATTCACTCTTTGTTCGCTTATCAAACTTGAATACTAGTATTCCTTCAAAAATCCCTTTCCTTTTTCTTTCCGAGCCCTATTCCCAAACGTTCTTCTTTTTAATTTTCATTGTCACCAGGCTATTCTGATCTGTTACGCTACATGTTTTCTTAATTTTACTCCATCGTGTTAATATGGTACAGCAACTTGAGCAACGTAGGTTTGAACCAGGCTTTAAGTTGATGATGACTATATGACAAGGCACTGCTTTGCGCAGTCTCTCGGATTCCGACAGGGGAGTCGTGATGGACTAATGGATTCAAGTCCCATACGGCTTCCTTACGTGCCACGGCGCCATTTCATGAACCGACCATGATTCTCCGCTTTTCCCACCAAGTCTCAGTGTAGGCAAATAATTCATGAAATTGAGGATGTGTCATAAATTATCTTAATTCCCAGCTGTACCAGTATATGCGTAAATTAAATAAGATTTTAAAACATCAACAGGATTCAAGCGACCCAGTATACGCAATGCTACCAAAAGAGATTGCCATCAGATCTGAACAGTTAGCAAAACAATAGCTCTTAATCTAAGCAGTCATCAACACGAAGGTTAGCACTGAAGATTTATGAGAAATTTATCAGTAAACTATTCCACCAATGGGTCGTGAGTAAATGTTATACCATAATAATTACTTGATTCTAATACAGTTCTGTCTATCAAATTGTATAGTGAACATTAATCTCGAGGTGGTGGAAAAGATTTTTATCTCAGAAGGATTAGTTTTTTGTAGTTGCGTAATCAGAAAACGATTAAATGGAATCAAGTCAAAGAAGTTTTTATTTATTTAAACAAATAAATATTAGCACAGAGACACCAAAATTTGTGTACCACACAATAAGAAAGGAAGGCGAATGTAAAAAAAAAGAACAAAGCCGAAAAGAAATTAGTGCATGATAATATAATAATAATGATAACAATAGTAAAGGGAGAAGTTCAGTTAGAAAAATACAACCAGAAAGCATCCTTCTAATAAGAGAATCCCCTCTTACTTAAATGAAGTAAATAAGAGGAAATTACAGCAGGACCGTCACTGGCTTCAGTTCTCAGCCATGTCTGAAAACGTTTCGAATCACTGTGCTGCATTATACCTAGGAACACGGAACAGGAAGTTATGAAGGACCGGCAGATGAATCCTGTGCTGTTTTCTTTCATATTACGGCATTATGCTATACACTGACCACCTCTCTGCTTTTTCGAACAAGTCTCAGAGCAAAACATAATAATGCACGATGTGGAATTTGGTGGGACGAAGTTCGTAAGACGTGTCAAAGCCACTGAAGTCGGTATTTCAAGATGATAACAGCAACTGAATTATAGTCACTGTACTCAAATACACGTTATAAAACCTCCGCGATACTAACATAGTGTTACCACTGAATGTTAGCAATTCTTCGAAGATGACGACGATCGGACACATACAAGAGAGCATCATCAAGAACACAGGTTCAAATATTTCGACTTTGAGTTTCCAGAGGAAATTGGTAGATTTGTAGTAGTTGGCGATCATTAATTAAGCTTATCATCAACTTGAAGAAACTGATGATCCCCTAAGAGTTTTGATAAGTTAGTGTAAATATCAAATTTTCACGTCAGTAGCGTACTGAAACGTTTAGTCAAAATTCGACTCCGATATTGTATAAATGGTTTGAATAGCACCAGGAGCACCATGTTCCAGAAGAATAATGATATGTCTGGCTAAAAAGTTCTAATCAACACGAAACCTAAGAACAAAATTTGCGTTTAATTGTCTTAAACCACTTAAAAATTTATTGACAAACTGAATACTCCGATTTTTTTTAGTAAGGAAACTGTCCTGTAGTCAATCGAAGTAGCATACACACTGAAGCTTCTACTAGTCTATAACTAATGAAGCCACTTTCAGATACACTATAAACTGCACGATTCGTAGATTGTATGAAATTCAGTCACTACACAAAATCTATAATTTCCTATTAAACGTAAAAGCTAATTTAGGAATTAACATTGTTTTTACATCGCATGAAATTTTGGAAATCATTATGTGCAGTCAAGAAAAATTACAAGTTTCTCGATCTAATCAAAAGGCAAAACACCTCGACTAATGTTTCTAGTACACAAATTAGGTACTGTTATCATATGAAATAAAGTAAGCAGTGCAGTTGAATTTTCCGAACATCAACTGTATTTTCGTTAGCATAAAAAAATATTGATCAAAACATGACATACAAAAAAAGGAACTATATTTACAAGGAAATCAGTCGAAAGCAAAGCACAGACGGGTACACCAAAAAAATCTAAAGAAAACTTTTGAAAAGCGACCGATTTATATTTATCAGCAGAAAAGTAGTCATTGAAATCATATGGAGTTGCGCGATGGAGTAGTGGTTTTGTTGTTTGATAATACAATTTCTATCGTTAAAATAAAAGAGGCTAAGCAAGGGCCGCTCATGAGATCGAAAAAGTGACTTAAGATCTGGAATAGCTTAAAGTTATTTTTATTTATTTGAAAGCATAAATGCTGGCAAAAAGGGGGACCGAATACATATGCGCCACATAAGTCACTTGATTTGGGTGCAGACTGTGATACTACCCGGATCCCCAGGCCGTAGCAGTCAAAGACAAGACCACGAACAAGAATAAAAGGTATTTTCTTATTAAATTAATAACAGGATTATATAAACCTTAACAGAAAAATAACAATTAAAAATTATAAACTTTTTCAATATCAATTTTGTAGGTAGCTCATTATCAAGTGAATCAAGTTCAGACTACTCGGTTCAATTCTCACTCGTTATATCAAGCTGAAGAATGGAGAAATTTATTTTTAAAATTTAAATATTCATACCAAACATAAAAACCTTATGAACATAAGTGGTCATAATTGACCAAAGTCTCAAGAAGAGAGGATAATAACAATGATCGATTAATGCACAATTAAGGTGGATGAAAAAAAGTTGTTAGCCTGATATAATACTGATGCTTCATTTCACACTGATGAGGTCAAATATTATTATGCAGTATCTGCATGTAATCATATTTTACTTCTGTTAATGCGCAATTTTTTACTGTGAATAAATCATTAAGCAGATACACAGGCATGAGCTACACCTTGGTTGTGGGAGCTAATGATACTAACCAGTTACCCAAACAGAAATAGATGAAGACGCGGGTTCGAGCCTAGGACTTGGTAATTGAAAGTTGAGACTTATCTACTAATTCACCACGTATCAGAACTGATGATTTGAAAGAAAAACATTGTATCACTAATAATAATACTGAATAAAATAAGTATATGAACAACTTACACACTATTCAGTAATGAGATATGTCAATAAAATATGCAAAGATTTACTGATAGCATTAAACACTAAGAACTTGTTTAGTCTGTTTAGATATTTCGTCATGAGCTGTTTAGATTCAAGCACCACTGATTCAGAATCTAACGAAATATCACTAAGTTCTGTGATGAATATGAGGAAAACGTTGAACAATCAACGACTAGTAGCTAGTTCCAAACATGACACCGGTCACTACCCAGGGGGCCAATTACAGGATGAATATCCGAGTCCTATATGAGATCGATCACGGCAGGAAAACTCAGTCGTGACGTTTGACTGTGAGACCGGTTGAACCGGATTCGAAATTCACAAGGGAGCAACTGTAGGTACCGTCCCTACTGATGGTCAGTCTGTCAGTCAGTAACAACGTAGAACTTCGTACGTACGTACATCAATTCGAGTTGCCATACCACATTAGCACAGAGACGCAGTTATCGATTCAAATCCCGTAGTGGTAGAGGTAGTAAGAGTATAAGCAGTAATCGGAAACATTAGGGTTTGAAGATGTTATTCAAGGAGTATAATACAGTGAAATAAATTTGGAAAGAAAATAAAGGACATGAATAATCCAGAAGATTAGAATTTGGGAGAACACAAAGAGTGGATGCACCTGCACCATTGCAAACGATTTTGAGCCACGTCATTCAAGGTCTCTAACCATCGGTCACCACCGTCTCGCAGATCCCAACCAGGTAGTCTACACCTAACAACATGGCTCAGTTCACTTGTCAGTGACTTCATGGATTTGTGCCATGTCTTGGTCTGGCTACCCATAGCTTTCTTCCAATCTACTCCTACACCAGAAAACATCGCACGTCGGTGGTTGGTCATAGGTAACATATGTCCCAGCCATCTCAACTGATGAAGTTTCACTACGTCATCGATTGATTTGCCATCCTTACCTACAACCCGGTTCCTAACAACTGCATTACTTATTCGATGGTCCCAGGATATACGAGCAATATTTCGAAGACACTTATGATCAAATATTAGTAACCTACGGATATCCTCTACTCTTACCGGCCATGTTTCACTGCCATAAAGTAGGACGGAACGAACTGCTGCGCAGTAAACACGTCCTTCGGTTGATAGACGGATATCTCGCCTACGCCATAAATGACGCAAGTTGGCAAAAGCTAGTCGAGCCTTCTGTATCCGTGCTGAGATTTCGTCACACAACAGACCACAAGGGCTGATGAGACTTCCAAGATAAGTGAAGCGGTCGACACGCTCAACTACTTCACTCCCTATCATTAGTTCAGGTGTCGATGCAACCCAATCCTCAAGCAACATTTTGCATTTCGAGGAGGAGAATCGCATCCCGAACATGCTTGCATTGTTGCTTAGAGTAGTCAGAAGACTCTGCATTTTGTCAGCGTCTTCGCCAAATAAAACTATGTCATCAGCATATTCTAAGTCAACAAGTGAACCTCCCGGTAGAAGTTCAACCCCTGGAAATTTAGATGAGGAAAGTGTTATCTCTAAAAGTACGTCGACCACAAAGTTGAACAAGAATGGAGAGAGTGGACAGCCCTGACGAACACCACTTGAGGTAATCAATTCTGATGACAGTTCGCCATAAGCTCTCACTCGACCAGTTGTGTTCGAGTAGAGAGCCTTTAAAAGGTTAATGTACTCCTTTGGTACCCCTTTCAGTGACAAACACTGCCATAGAACCTCACGATCAACAGAGTCGAATGCCGCCTTAAGGTCGAGAAATACTACCATTGTGGGGCGTCTGAATGTGTGTTTGTGTTCTAGAACCTGACGTAGTGTGAATATCTGATCTATACAACCACGTCCAGGTCGAAAATCAGTCTAATTTTCTCTAGTCTGCTCTTCACGAGCTTTAGTTAGGCGTCGAAGTATTATTAAGGCTAATATTTTAGACACTATATTAGTCAAACTGATTCCTCTGTGACTGTCACAAAAGGACTCTTGTCCTTTCTTACAGACTGGCACAATCAGTGATTGAGACCAGTCAGATGGGATTACGTCCAGTTCCCAAATTCTACCTAAGACCTCAGTTAACCTTACTGCTAATACTGAACCACCATCCTTAAAAATCTCAGGGGTTAACCTGTCAGGGCCTGCTGCTCTCCCTCGCTTCAGATTTCCTATGGCTTTTTCAACTTCATAAAGAGACGGAGGACCTACATTAACTTGCCATTCAGGTTGACTGGAGATCGTGGGAAACCGAAGTGTGGCTGAAGGCTAGTTGAACTGATCCCTAAAGTGTTCTGCCCATCGATCCAATCTCCTGGATTGAGAATGTATAATATGTCCATCTTTCTCTGAGAGTGTTTCGTTAACAGTCGGTTTCCTTAACAAGTCTGAACAATTGTCTGCTATTACTTATTGCCGCTGCCTTTTCCATCTCTCTTGCTTTCGCTACCCACTATTGATGGGTGCAAACTAGTACGAAATCTAAGACTAGAGTCACCTACTGACAACTTCAGACTACCAAACATTAAATGAAAAACATCATGGAGTGTTTATTCTCTTTGGTATGAGTAGAAACATTTTGCTAATCTACCGATGTAAGTTAATAGTTTACAACTTGTGTCAGTCAGTAGCATATGTCATGTCAAAACGCAAACAATAAGTACATACATCCGTAATAAAAATTACAAAAACATCTTTATCTCTACAAAGAATCTTTCAACAGAGCGGTAATGTAAATATTGACTTAAAGATGAAAGTACATTTTAAAAATAGAAACTTTTGAATGGTTCTTATTAAAAATATTTTCTACATATTAGCACTTCTAACCGATCTTAAAAAATTTAAAAATAATTTTTAAAGTGCATGTACTCTCAACATTACCTCCCTACATACCATAACAGTTATTAGTTAAACTTCTTAAGATAAACTTGGCTGGATAGCTGCTAGGGTGTATACACAGAATTGATTAGTGATATTGAACTAAAAATTACTATGTAATCGGATGGGAATATATAGCTTTGTGGAAATTGGATTAAACGTACTGACGATAAATTAGGTTTCAAATTTTTAGTGTCACACCCAAATATCACATGATTTAGGCGGAGATTACTTTGGAAATGTTTAATGATATGACAATCTAACTGGAAGGAAATTTTAATTTCGATTCAAATAATTCAATATTCGCTAAAGAAAATGTTTGCTTATGAATTGGATTGTCTAAAAGGTTCATAATGAGAAAAACCCTGACAAAAAAGCATCAATTTCAGAAACCACAATGTAACCACTGAACAACACATGGTATTTACTTAGGAAGGCAGATATGATCAACAAATGCATCTTGCAACTTAATGTACAGAAAACTTGACTAACATGTTAAAAATTACTAGTTCGAAGTTGATCACTCCTCTAAGATCATTTAAACTATAAAACTCTAACTCAGTGATCATATGCATAAAATTGATGGACTGATGAGTGATCATGAATAGTTTAATTCGCTTTGTCTATACATATACAAGCATCAATTGTTGGTAAGAATATTAGGCACATGCTCAAAGATTTCCTTTTTAAAATGAAATTAACTAAACATTTTTTTGATATATCTAGAGCATTTGCATCTTTTGTTCTATACATAGACAGATGAAAATGAAAACGTTTTGAGATCTGCTTAAATGAATTTTAGATCAATTTTATTTGATCCCTTAACTAACGTATTACATAACATTTACCGCACACCAAAACTACAAATCGAAAAAATTGTTAAAATGAAACTTGATAAATAGAAACATGAAAAAAACATTTACTTCGATTGGTTGATTGTCTTATCACATAAACACGGGCGGTTGGGCTGAAAGAAATATCGAACTTCGTATAGAAGTGAGTTGAATTAAATGTTGGGATGACCTTGAACTCGAACAACTTCAATCTGATGTCAAAATCAATTCATCAAACAGTGTAACACTTGTATTTCTGACTAACTACAAATAATCAAATGAAAGTAATGTGTTCAACTCACTGAACTGACTTACTGGAATATGTGTACGATTTTAAATAATCAGATAGAGAGTTTAGACTAATTACTTACAAATGGGACATAAACGATTGGTAATGTTGCTTTTCAAGGATTCACTATAGTAATTACACTCGATTACTGGAATGGTTTATACATAATTATTTCTTCAGATAACAGAAAATCAACGAAAAAAATGGTGTTATTAATTTATTCCGTGACACCGTAAGTAGATAGTTTAGTCAATTACCAACCATTTCATCAACATCAAATACAATTTGACGTGCTACGTTCAGAAATGAATATAACAACTCAGCATGAAAGTTCGACTTTTCGGAAGTTGCAAAACAAGTTCCTTAAAGTTCAAAATCGGAATTTAAAAAAACGATCCAAGTACTGTTTTCATATGTTTCATGATAAGTCAATATACGGATTAGTGGCTTTGTCTTAGCAACCGTTATATATAACCATTAAAGCTGAAGTTTTTAATCAAGGGAAAAGAATGAAACTCAATAAAATACAACTCATGCATTGAAGCTAAAAGATATAATTGAAGAACAATTAGCAGGTCAGTTGTTGAGGTATACAATCACAATGCTAATTAACGATATATATTTGTTACAATAAAAAATAATTTATCAAACAATTTTTTTAGGTCTCAGATGGGTTTTGTGGACATTATGAGTCAGTTGAAGCTAGACCACCTTGGAAAACCTAGCTTCAACTGACTCATGATCTTAACTATTGAAATTACTATAATGTCCACAAAACCCATCTGATATTAATCAACATATGCTCACTAGTGACTGGCTTCACGAGGTATATCCTGAAGTTCTAGTGAGAAGTAGAGACCAGTGGAGTTCAACTAGGTCTGTTGTGAGATAGTAACTCAGTGATGGTGGATGCGTCGCTCAATTTCGTGGACTAGCTGAAGTTAGACATTAACACCGTTGGATGCCGACTCAGTGGTCTACCGGTTAAGTGCTTGCGCGCGAAACCAGTAGGTCCTGGGTTCGAATATCGCAGGGGGCGAGGTCGTGGGTGCGCACTGCTGAGGAGTCCCACAATAGGACGAAACGGCCGTCCAGCGCTTCCAGGTTTCCCATGGTGGTCTAGCTTCAACTGATTCATGATCTTAACCATTGAAATTTTTTAAAATTATAAGTCGAAAAAAAATCGATCAGTACAATTTGTAATACGTGTATATAGCTCAAGATCAATTAGTCCAATCAAAACGCAAGACTGATACTTAATAACTCTACAGAAAAACTAATTGTAAGATAGTTATGGTGCTTAATTTAGTAAATTGATTACACACCATTCAATGAGTGCATTCATCTTGTTTTTGAGACCTATAAGTTGAACAAAGTTTACTAATAGATACCACACAACTAGTTTAACATTAATCATAGAGAATAAAAAAAAGGAAATTCTATAATAAAACTAAGGGTCTTGGATTTGACTCTTGGTTACGAGGTCGCGGATGCACACTCCCGAAGAGTCCTGTACTGGGACGAAACGCTCATCCAGTAATTCCAGGTTTTTGATGGTTGCCTAACTTAGGTTGGCTTGTGATTTCAATGTAATCTAACAATATCTACAACCCCTTACAATAATAATATTAAGCGACAAACTAATTAAACAAACCTATAGATGCAAACGTCAGTACGAAGTGTCAAGTAATTAACCATCTAAGCCTTACAATATAATGTAGACTGATGAAATTTAGAAAATTGAAAAATCATGTAAGAATGATTATTAATGTAAAAACATTTAGATCACTTAACATTCTACAGATAGGTACGAACTCAATAGTCGAGTAAGATGGAGTTGGGAAGCTAGGTGTATCACCATATGAGAACCGATAAAGATGACTTTTTATTTACGTAACACGTATCAGAATGAAAAATATGAGCACTTCAACTTAACATGCGTCTGTGCAACAAAAGTTAGAAGAGTCAGGCTAGTAAAATTGAACGGTCTGTATAGATCGATTAGGAGTGACTTGATTTATTTAGAATAATTGTATGCTTCTTTATCGAACACTATAATTAAACAGTTACCTTGTAACTAGGCTGCAGAAAATTGACTAAGTGTGAAGTGAAGATATCAAGTTAGTCATAAGACAAAATTATGTATTAATCGATGATCTGATATGCATATAAAGCTGTAAAAAGTTCTCTCAATATCATTAGTATTCATCTAATTTAAGACTAGATGTTATAACCTATTTCACTGTTCATTATCCAAACGTATCTATTGGAATTAAACCATTAATTTATCACACTCTGTACTTTCATAGTTAAGCAGAACGTACATAAAACAAACTAACATAAACATGATTTTATTATACAAATTAACTTTCAATTATATGTGTGTATGTTGAACATCACATATAGGCAGATCCATATAAATCTACTAATTCACATATATCACACATCAACAACGAACGATCATACTTATACATTCATTCCTTAGTCATACCAACAAAAATCGTGTTATAAAAAAATGCAACAAACAAAATATTTGTTGGTTAAAAGAATTTATTAAAATTTATTTCATTTTATTACGAAAATTGATGCAACAATGACCAAATTTGAAAAAAAAAAAAACACACACAGATAAATCACAAACAAGAAGACTAACGAAGACTTGGGTATCAGAGGAGTTTATAAGGATATCTTAGTACGTAGAGCGTGAGTTTAAACATTAAAAAAAAAATTTACTTGGAAGATTATACATTTCCAACTGTACTAAATAAGAGGTATATAAAGAGGGAAAAAATAAAGAGTGGAAACTGACAAAATTAAAATGTTAGTAGAAGAAAAAATCCAGATAAAGTAATGTGTGAACAAAAATTGTAAACACTCAAGTTTGTATTTTATCGAAAAAAATGAAATTTAATTTAATGTATAAATAACAGACACATAAGGGTATTTCGTTTTAATTTAGGGAACTCAAACAAGAAATAATAAATTAATTATAATACTGTCAGTTAATACAAACTTCTCTTATAGATTAAAATTTAAATATTCCTTCTCATACTACTACGTTATTGCTGTGGAGAAAAACAACACATTAACATGTGTGCGCGTGTGTATATGACCAACTAAAATGGTGGAATTATTGAGTAATAGGTTGAAATGAATCAAAATGGTAAACAACCTGTTGTAAAAAAAACGATGAGTGGTTAAAACGAAACAATTTTTTTAATTATGAAGCAACAGAATCTAAACGTGTTACACTGAGACAGGAAGAAACGAAATCAACCACTATCGATAACAATGTTCAGTTGATATAGGGACCATTTCAAATGATGTACTTTTATCTCAAACTAACCAAGCATTATCAGCTTATGAAGAAAAATCATACATCCGTATATATTTGATAAATACAAGAATATATATCTTGGGAAATTTAGTTATATTAAAAATTGGGGAATAAGATGGACGGAAAAAATACCGAAGAACAATAATACTGTGTTGTCCCACAAAATTAATTTTTTTCTAGAGAAAAAAAACGAAAAAAATAGCAAACTGCCATTTTCTTCGGTATGAATGATACAAAGTAAAAACTTAACATTATGTAAATAAAAATACTAATAATTAAACAAACGAGTACAAAATGGAATGATGTTATACAAACTAACAAACAATGAAGCACAAAACTTTTAAACACAATTATATCATCAATATCATCATGATGTTGGTTTACGACCACATATACTGTAGGCAAAAGATTCATAGTCTAATGCACCAGAATCTCCCGTTGGTCCATTTAATACAGGCATATTCTGTAAACAATATTCAGCATCACTAGCAGAAAGACGTTCTTTGATATCCTGAGGAGTGATATATCCCTAAAATAATATAAACGAGAGATTTTAAAAACAATTTAACTCTTGTTCTTCATTGCGATTATAATTTAGTTAAAGGCGAAAATAATACAATTCAAACTAACAACTGATAAAGTGATCGAACATTGATCTCCATATCGTGATGGATAGATATCTACTGTAATCACTAGGTTCTTGAAAACTGATTCATAAAACAATTCATTTTAGACTGTAAGAAGCTAAAAAGCTAAAATCCTTTACTACTGACAACGCTACCAACCGAATTATTCAAACTATGGCTTGGATGATTCGAAAAATAAATAAATTACTCACATTATGTTGTGGATGGGATGCCTTATACATTTTATATCGTCGGCGAAAAAAGAGAATTTCGTATGACTGTCAACAAAAACTTGGTACCGAAAGACAATGGTACTATATGAATATGGGCAAAACATAGGATTGAACTTTATGTATGTAACAAAACGTGTTTTCCATACAGACTAAGAGTTCAAAAGTGCAAGTCTTCCAGAAGTATAGGATTGTCTTTAATAAAACAGTGATGACCAACATAGGTTGATGATGTCATAAAATCAATTCTGAAAAGAGCAAAAACAAAAATGCTAGCAGAATAGCTTACAACCTGTGATATCTGACTTTAAATATCACAGGTTGCAAGCAGCTGACGAGAACCAACGAAATAAAATAAATTCATGCTATTCTGCTAGAATTGTTGTTCTTGCTCTTTTCAAAATGATGAGGGGAATTATGTGCATGAAAGAAAATCAATTCTTCACGTCTCTATAATTAAACATCAGTCTAATTTTATTAAATTGTTCAGTCTATCTAAATCACTGCTTTAGCCGAAGATCATATAACTTACTGTATACTGAAATCGAAAGGGTTCCGATGTACAGTGAATTCTGTACTCTTGATAAAATTATGCAAACAACTGCAGACATAACTACTTGTATATCTTCTAAACAAAAGCACCCTATGACGATATCCTAGATACTTCTGAATGAATTGTAAATTATGCCAGTTACAGTAGAATAATGACTATAAAAACAGAACTATGTAATATACTCTGTGGAGACTAAGCTTACTTTATCACCTCCAAGTGTTTTAAATGATTGAATAAGTTGTTCTTCAGTTGCCTCGTCAACATTATCTCGTGTCATAAAGTTTAGGAATGCATCAAATGATATGTAACCTGTATGACCGGGATCAACTTCATTAACAATACGTGAGAAATCCGTTTCCGCCTGACAATTTAATATAAATAAACAAAAAACAACGGAAGAATGAGCAGGAAACAAAAAAACGGAGGACTAGACTAGTATTTTATAGCTAAAAACAAATAGATTGTTTAATCATCTGGCTTTCTGTCGTTAAAGAATACAAACAATTTTTAAAGATTTATTGAAAACACAATTACTGATATGAAATGGGCACCAAGATAAGTATACGTCACGTGAATAAGAAAGTAATATTGTGAATCTGTAGAGAGAGAAGGGAGTATAATTAAAATTAATAAATGAAAGAAAGCAAACAAACGACCGGACTAAAAAAGACCACATCGGGATAAGTTTCTTCCTGGCTTTCGCTATCCGTATATTAGTCTCATCATTCACACCACCACTAGTACACACATGAATACAAAGATAAACAAATATTCCGACCAACCCTAGTGGTTTACGGTCAAAAGTAAATGCATACAAATGATTTTATCAGTCTTTTTAAATTACTTTGCATTTAAAAGATGCAAAGTACACGTAATACCTACGGATTAGGAAATGATTAAGTGAGATTCGCGTATCAAGTAAAGTTTTATATACCGAGTCAATTTTATTCTAAATAACATGAAAAAGTACATATGAATATTGAAGAAAAAACAATTAACCATTAGTTACAAGTATCGTAGGTAACTAGGAAGAACTGATATTGTATGATGAAACAACTTTATTCTACATGTTGTCTTAATTTTATTCCAATTTAGACAAACAAGACTAATCTTATGAAATGTAACAGAACCTCATTAGCTTTTATATGGAATTATAACTATTTAACAGAGATATTAAAAATATCTACACTTATTGTACAAGACTGATAAGTCCGTAAAGTTAACAAGTTTGTTTTTCAAAAGCCCACATTTCCAATGGCTAAGCTCAATGGTGAATATATATCTTGACATTGTAATATTAAGAAAAAATACCTGATTTCTCCTATGATGAATTAATGTATTGCTACCAACCAAAAATCAACTTGGATAATACCTAAAACTGAGTAGCAATACCATTTTTTTCTTCGAAAAGCACACATAATTGATAAAATATGAGATCAACACAAATATTGATCCTTTTCTATAATTTACTGCATCAGTTTAAATAGTAAAATGTCGGCATTCACAATGTACTGAATCTTTATTGTTTCATTGCGATAGACAAATTATATAAAACTTTTTTTCCCGATATATATATATATATATATATATATATATATATATATAGAGAGAGAGAGAGAGAGAGAGAGAATCGAAAAAACACAGCTAAAATAATCTTTAACAATTAATTATATACGATGATAATAGAATTTAGACAAATTCTGTGTCAAGAAAAATTTTGAAAAGGCTCTTATGAATAGTTGACTCAATCATTCAATTAACTGACTTCAAAAATATTTGACTGTTGATATTCCATTATGTCACTGTAAACACTGAATACTTCTGTTTGTTAGGATGATTTCAATAATCATCAAACAACTGTCGCTCGCCCTTTATTCCATTCAGTGCTTAATCAGCTAATTTTTTCCCTTTCTCAATCAAAATATAATTAGACAGAGCAAGAAGAATATACACGTAGTAGGAAGATGATTAAAATTACTTATTGTCTATTTTTTGGTTGTTTTCGGTTTGCTGGCAGGAAAAAATAGGTCGTAAATCTTACAGGCTAACATGATTAAAACACGTATAAAGGATGTGCGTCATAAATAATTTAGACTCGGATAAGAGTTGGGTTCTTTAAAAAGGGACCTATAAAAGTAAATATAACTAAAAAGACAACAACAGGATAGAAAATACATATAGATTGCTGATATGTATTGTATAAAAAATAGTAAATTAGGATAAGGTTAGGTTTTGTGTGGGATAATTCAATTTGAAGGTAGTTTTCATCAAACAAGTCTAACATCAGATGGGAAACCAATGAAAATCAGGTGAAACACTAGATAGTATTTTCGTCTCAGTTCGTAGGCTTCTTCAGATACATAAATATCATGATGTACAGTACATTAATTGTATTCTGACTGGGTAATGTATAGTGGGTTCATAAACTTCTAAGTTCGATAGTCAATCGAATTATAGCTATGCACAGTTGAATATTCCTAAACGAGGATGAGACAACTAATTCTAAGTAAATCTCCCGATAGCTGTCGGTCTGTGACAAAAACTATTTACAAACTGTAATTCGCCACAATAAGAAATCAGTGAAATATTTACTACCTTAATTAGAATAAAATAAAATTAACATATATAGAATAAAACCTGGTCTATTCTTATCAAAACTGATTGTTTCTATGCATGTTTGCAATAGAAAACACATACACACAAAGAGATAAATCACAATGAAGAACCCTACAATTTACATTTTAGATGAATGTCGATGGAACTAGGAATACAAACATGAACATACAAAAGCCAATGATGGATATTTAAAAACAGGAGATAACCTGCATACGAAAGTAAGTTTAAAAAAAGGACTTGTTAACTAAGGTCAAGACCACCACTGAAAACTAAAAGCATTAAATGGAGTCATAGTGAGAAACCGTGAAAAGTGAAATTCGACCACGTCATAACGAGATAGTTATCCATCTCGAGCCGTGAATGAGGGCACTTTAATGTCGTGAATCGATAGAAATTAAGCATCAACACCGGTGGATACCAACTCAGTGAGATAGAGGTGAGCGCTCGGGTGCATGGTCGGAAACCATAGGTCTGATTCTCGGATCCAGGGTCATGGATGAGCACTAATTAAGAGTCCCCGTATCAGGATGAAAGGCAGTCTATTGCATCCGGATCTATATAAGATCAGCTTGTATTTTAAAACATCATAATTTTACAATCTTCACAAAATTCTGTACTGATTATATATTTGTTGTAAAATGCTGAACATAAAATTTAAGACGGTTATAATAATTTTTATCCAATTGAAACATATTTAAAAGCTTATCGTTAATAGATAGTATCATTTAATAAATTGATTTTCAACTACTCATTTATTGGTATATTTTGTTTATTCGTGTATTAATTTAAATTCAAATTAGCTCACTAACTAGGTACTAGTATATGAGCAGTATGATACTAACTGGTTGTCCAAAAGTGAAGTTGGTGGACCGGTATTCAAACCTGAGACTTAGTGGCTAAAAGTCGAATGCATGAACCACTAAGCCACCACATCGCCACCACATCACCACCACATCAGCGTAATACGCTAAGATGGATGAAGACGGAAAAGCGAAACTGGAAATTTTTATGTTCAATTCAATTATTATTCGAATAAAGGTATCTGAGACAAAGATCGGACAACTGCATGCAATACAGTTGTCAATGGCTCACACTTTTACTTTTCTTCAAAAATTAGTAACAATGAGAAAAACAATGCAAAAACGTCTAAGTAGTACTGCATATCAAAACTAAGCTAATCACCAAAACACACTGCCAAAATCACTCTGAATTAGACTCCAGGATCACTACTTCACTGATATGAAGTTGAAGAAACCAGTAGTAAAACTCTACCGACTGACTAGCGCTAGCTTATGAAAAGGTATATATACATATATATTCTCCAGAATCATAACTATCGTCTTCACATGAAAAAGTAGCTGATAGATCTGATAAAATGTTAACAAATGAATCGATATTAATAAATAGAAGCACCAGGTAGCATATGAATAATTTGGTTTTCATTTCCATAATACTTGAATTACACGGAGCTAAACAAGCATACATACCAACTTTAAGCAACAAAATATTAGCAAGTTATATGATGGTCTAAAGTTTTTTTAGAAACCAGGTCACATGGTTGAAAAATTAACATTTGAGTTCTACAATTGTGTTACAGCTTATCAATGCATTAATTACTATAGATGAAACGGATACGCCTATGCACAAAATTGTGTGCAAATATACATATATTTATAGGATTTTTATCAAAAACCATCTGATAGAGTGGGTTTATTTAACAAGCCAACCTGTTTACTCATATAGATAGTAAATTGCACGTACATGTGACGATTTAAATTGTTTCGTTTTATAAGCGAAAGAATTTCAGTGAAAATTTATTATCGCCAACTTTAAAAGTGATCTATAGTCAGTGAATAACATGTCGTTAAACCATAAAAATGGCATGAATAGTTGCAAGTTTTTAAAGCAAACGTTTCGATATTGATCAATTACAATAGAGAAATACGAAGTATTAATGAGGGGATGTCGTGGAGATTACCTTAATTTAAAAGTAGTGCTCGTCAAAGGCTGAACTCAGTCGGAACACATTAGAAAGAGGGAGGGGTACATTAACAGTATTTTATTCCATTATAGTATTCCTCAACAGTGTGCACCTATAGACCCCAGGAACTGATCGGACTAATGGCCTTCAAGTTTTGCAACAAGTCTTTAACTACAGAGAGAAAAGTATCAGTAAAGAAATATATGAGGGCACTGTGGAATAAGTAATTCAATAGTCACACTTTTTACCTATATTCTCCTATTCTACCTAGAAATAAACATTAATTTGGAAAGTGGGGAGTAATACGTAAAATAGACTCAAACAACTTTACTCAATGCTTGTTCTCCATCCTATCATGTTACATTCAAGTTTACATATTTTCAAAGGGACAGGCCAAAAACAGATGCATCAATATGATTGATAATTTACCAAGGAATTCATTGTGTTACATGGTCCCTAGGATTTCATGTGAATAAAGATGAAAAAGTGTATGCCAAATAACATCCATCCAGAGATCAAGCACATAAAACTCATAGGTTATAATATTAGGTCGCAGTTTCGAATTTCACCATACCTATTTCAATTAGAACAGTCCCGACCGTTACTGCTACCTTGATTTGGTGTTTGGGCATGCCTATCGTAATGAACCAATCGAGCTCTACTGACCAGGACAATTGTTCCTCAAGGTCCTACCATGCCAGACAGGTAGGTTGAAGAGCGGTAAAACTAAAAGCAACAAACCCAAGGTCCGAGGGCGAAGTCGT